TGGCATATATAAATTAACCATTCGCGATAACGTGACATGATTTACGATTTATATTACTTGCATGTAACTGCGTGTATTGCTATACTTGGATCGAACGCGATAGACGATTCGATTACAATTCCCAGTTTTTAGATTACGCGAAATCCCGTTCGAATTATTGAGAATCTTTTCGGTTTCGCAGCAGAATCGAAGAAAAGTAGCAGAGGTTTGCGAACTAACGCGCGGTTATACGGCGAATCGGAAGCATACGTTCAACGTACTTTTGTTAATTATTAACATTATGACTGCGTAAGAGGTGGCACATAGGTCCTAACAATTCTATTTGGCCAGTGCCCAGGTTATGAGGCCTCTGGAAATAATGATGAAACATGACAGGACTATTTTCAACGTCTGCGGATTCAACGTGAGCACGTGTTATAAATCTATGCTCGTGCATCGACTCGGTATTCCGCTAAGTATTTCGGCTAAATATCAAGATTCACGACCCTTCAGAATATTCTCCATTCCATGAAACGATCTCGCGAATCCTAACTAGCTCCGCGACTCCACCTCGTTAACTATCCTTTCGTTAATTTAATTAATTACCGAACGCTCTACGCTGGCGATGAGACCAAGTTCAATGCGTAGTAGTACGAACACGAGTCAGTTCTAGTACAAAGGTCTCGCTTTATGACATTCTATTGTTAATCGTAGGAGATTATGTTCCGCTTTATTTGGATCGATTCCGTAGAATTGGAGAACGTACATGTACTTACGAGTACTTAGACACTTTGATTAGATTTGAAGGAAACCTAAACTGCTAATAAATTTGAAAGGAATTTCATAAAAATGATAGGTCGAGTAGTGAAAGGCAGAAACTAAATATTAGGAATATCATTGGATATTGTTCAATAGAAAGCTGAAGCAAATAGAAAACTACCACAAGGATATCGACAACTAATCTTCTATTTAAAGTACTCATAAAGCTTCGAATTTACGTAATTGAAATCCTCTTATGTTCGAAAGCATCGTTTCCATTTGTCAAGTTCCATATAAACACTTCGAACCTATTTTCTTTCAAAATATTCGTTAAATAAACCTACCTTCTAACGATGTATCGAGCTGGATGGAAAAGACTAGAGATGGGCAGGCGTATTGGCGGAAAATGTCACATAAATACAAATAAAACAACACACAGTAATGCGTGAAGGCGAGCGATACAGAGCAGTGCCATCCAGTGCTGTACCACTGTATTCGATGGATTTCGAGCCAAAACTTGCTCCAGATCGTTTCAGATCGTTTCAACTTGTTCTACGTTCACGGTGTAAAACGAAGAACCTTTAATCTTCGACACGGTGCGGCGTTTGCGTTGGAAGGAACTAATCAGTGACATGTGGGCGCCGGGGTGCAGACGAGCGCGGAAATTAAACGAAAGATCCGTTTCTATAAAAGAGGAGCGAGAGGCCGACAAAGAGGATAGGCAGAGGGGTCGATAATTAGCGAGTGAGAATGGTAGACAAACACTGGTCGCGTTTCGGGCATCTATGTAAGCGGAACACGTGTTTTCGAGGGTGACACTGACATCCATCACTCGTCCGGTGTACGCCCACATCACGGACTCGCGCGTCCGTCGTTCAACTTTTCTACTTATACACCAGCAGCGTGCACCAGCCGATTTTTGCTGCTTCTTTTATCCGCGACAATTTGTTCCGCCTCCCCGGTATCGTTTTCGCAAATTTCCAGCTACCAAATTAGTCGATCCTTCCCTCGTCGTCTCGCCGACTCGCTGCTTTTTATCGTTTTCTTCTTCGTTCCTTGGAAAACGAAGCGTGCATGCCACGAGAAATAATTGGAGGATCGTTTACGGTTTACACGAATAACAACATACATAGCTACGAGCGAGATCGAAGAGATTTAGGACCACGCGCGAGACGAGTTAGGACCATGTTTCACTTTTTCAGTTGCGCGTCGTAAACGTCAAATTGTCGTTAGCTGTCCATGTTATTACCGAACCTGTGTAAAAGCTCGTGCACTGATCTATTTGATACATTGCTATACTGTGTAGTGCAGCTATATTGCTACATAAATTGTAGTATGTCGTGCTAGAGTTGAACGTTATTGAAAATATCTGGAACCTATTCAAATTATGATTCGAAGAGAAAATTTCAAAATGTTTGGCAAAATAACGAGAACGTAAATTACCTGATACGACAGCTCATGTGCAACGTATCTGAAATGTTACGAATTGCAATCCAAGCGGGAGAAGTACAAATTATTAACATATAAAAGTACCTATACTCGATCTCTCGAAGCTCGTTCTATAAATTTACATAAATTGAAGGCAACCTATCTCTATAAAGGTATGATATATACCTTTGGTCCGCGTGGTTTTCGATCAATCGACCATTCAACGTAATGTCCGTGTCACGGTTTGACGTTATCAATTATGTCTGGACTCGCGCTATCAATCTCGATCACGAGCATGACGTCGACTTCCATCGTTTCTCTAATATAACCCACGATTGTGGTAAAATCGTCTGTTAACTTATAAAGCTTCCGTTGATTCGCTTGTGATTCATTTCATTTTCTTTCCCTTTCTTCCCTTTTGCCCTGCGTCTACGCGAAGAACCGCTCAAATTTCTCGGATCCCGCGAATCGAGGTGGAATATATCGTCGTAGGAAGATCGAGTGGACGCATACGTCTGCGAATCGCGCGCGTGGAACCAACGATCTGGCCATTTCACGCGCGCACACGCGCGTGAACGTCGCGGTGCACGCAATATTATTAGACTTTTTCTCCGGTCTACGGTGATAAATGGCCGACATCAAAGGGTCCGACGCGTGTAGTCATTTTACACGCGTGTAATACACGTATTCATCGTTGAGGAGGGTGAACCGTGCACGCGTGTGTGTCTGCACACATGCTCTGCACCCGGAGGATCTCTTTCCCATTCGGGACATTCTTCTTTTTCTCTGATACTGTCAACCGAGGAACATTGACGGTGTAGAGTTTATGAACATCGATAGGTATGAGCTCGTACACTTTAATATTTACAATTCGCTCCAGTTCTTAAGCCTGATTCGTACCAGCGGTCAAAGTTCGATCAATCAAACGCTCGGTGTTCTTTCGCGATTTTTATTGCTACTATGTCGATGCCACGGTCAACAGATTTTCACTTGAGCCGATCGTGTGAATGCTCTCCTTGAATTACGTATATAGCGATTTTGACCGACGGTTGACTCGATGCGATCTGACCGTACCGTGATCGCCAGTGTGAATCAAGCTTAAAGATATTCGTAGCGCGACGACATCCCTCGAAAGTAAAACACGCCGAGACTCGAAAGCCATATAAAGAAAGAAAGAAAGCCATGGAAAGAAATTTCTTGGCTGTCTACACTTCCTACACGCACACACTAAGGAATAATTCAGAAATGGACAGAATGACAACTTCGCATTGTAACATAGAGATATTTTGCACGCTGAGATTACTGATGCTATATATTCCACAATTACTTTGATTCGAAACTGGCGAGGTCGGAGCTGCACTTGAAAAAGAAGGATTCTTCTAGTCGTTTTACAGAACATAGATGTTAGTTTCCTAACAACTTTGTGAAACCGGTTTTTCCGTAATTGATCAAAAAGTCAGTTTACCAGCGACCTTACTACGGGGAATTACGGGTTAAAACTTTCAACTTTGAAGATGAATATCTCTAGCACTATAAATTGACTCTATAAACAACTATAAACTGGCAGAACTTGTTGCGAATTTGTATTCTTTATACCAATGAAACATACGTGGATCAGTCAATTACATTTCGATCGATAGGATTGTTACACCAAGGAGGTAGCTTCACTTTCCAGTAATTCGGAAGAACCAGCAAGAACCGACTCAAAATCAATCAAGATCATGTCACTTTTACTGAAAGTGAAATATATTCACGGCCAATTAATATTCGTTGTAACAATACCGAAAGACGAAACTCTTCTTCATATGCTTCACAAAGAGATCAATGTATCGTGCAATGTCTAAATTGGTTTATAAGATTTCGATATTTGTCTTCTCGAATCTAGTTTTGTTTTCGTTCCTGTTATCGGCTGGACTTACAAGCTGGTAGACTTAGGGAGAAACCTATAAACCGCCGAGAATTTATTGCCGACCCTTATTGGATTACTAGAGCTTAGGTCCTTTAAGACTCGAGGACTAATGCTCGAGGAGTAAGAAAAATATTTCCCTTAGATCGCATAAAGAAAGGAACATTTCGTTGAACGTAAGGTGTGCTATTCTGCAAACAATCACGAAGATAATAATTGTTTTACATTTTCGTCACTTATAAAGACGACAAGTTAGAAGAAATATTCCTATTTCTTAAAACAGGCTCCATATCTGGCAGCCCAGAAATTTTATCTTTCAACGTCTTTGTCTCGTCCGACAAATTTTTAATTCCACTTTACTTCCAATTCTATCGCGAGCGTGATCTCGATTCGGCGAGTTGTCGACAGTTTCGTGGGAACAGCTCGAGAGCCAAGGAAATTCATCGTAATTATAAATCTATCATGCGAGCGGTTTATCCCTTCATTAATTACTCACCTATAGAAGAGAGCCGACGAGGAGCACGCATAAACCACGGGGCTTGTCTTCCGTTTAACGAGCCCGCGCTGCTCCCTCGCGATCGAACGGTTCGCCGGCAAAAAGACGGAGTTTTAATGTAACGCGGGTCATTAAGTCCAAATCGTTGGAGTTTAACGGGCCACGTCGGGGTCGTTCCACGAATCGGCGATCCGCTGAAAAACTCGCTCCTTTTAGCGGGGTGATTCTTCGAAAATCGCCTCCTCGTTTGTCTTTCGATTAAAACCGGAGAGCTTTTTCCGGATTAAAGATAATATTTGCGTACCTGTCAACGGTACATAAAAATTATGTCGTCTATATAACTCGTGTAACTCGCAATACAGTGTCTAACATACGCGCCAACTCGAAAAGTAACAAAATTACAGTAAAGGTATTGAAATCGGAACACCCTCGTCTTTGAAACGCTTTATTGATACGATAACTGGATAGATAAGACGAAGAAAATTCAATGCTAAAAAACGATCACAGCTATGAGCTGGCTCAAAATTCCCTTCGTCTACGTTCTCCAGAAGAACGGAGACGCATTGACGATCTTATCTTTCTGTTTCAATTTATTAACAAAAAAAAAAATGAACTGTTTTAATCCATACCATATCTAATATAAAATATAACGATCTAATATAAATCTAACATCAAGTAAAACGCGACTCGATGACCCTTCCAGACCTTTTCGTTCCTCTCCACTTTTTTCACAAAATTACTACACAGCTAACTTACTTTACCCTGATCCAATAGGTCCAATAGAACATGTGTATATACACAGCAATGAAATACGTAACACCGTAGACTCTCTTCCTGAATCTTTCAAATTCTTCAAAACTTCCACTCTACGTGTTATTTATTATAACCGTCTAAATTATATCGTTGTTTTTATGTAATCTTTTAAAATACACGATAATATTGTTTTATTCGTCTTTACTGCTCCACGTCGAGTACGTGAAGTATCGTAACTGTAATCCGTAATAGATCGTTTTTCCATGTATAGATAGATAAATAAATAGACAGATAAATAAGTAAATATCTATCAGCGAACAGCGAAAGAAACGAAAGTGGCGAGATCGCACCATTTGAAAATTACTTCAAGCGTCGTAAGTTCTAAAACAAACTTGCCCCACGTAAATTGATAGAGGATCGTCGATGGTGGAAACGTGGCGTAAAGGGCGCGTGTTTCGCGCCTCTGCCAAGAAGCCGCCATTACGGGGAGATCGAGGGGATGTCGAAAAGGGGGACGAAGAAAAAAAAAATGGTGGCCGGTGGCCGCGCAAAAACGCGTCTCTACGGTCGGCGGCGTCGCCGACGAAACTCTTCTTCCAGGAATCACGGAGGCATCGTAGGGCCCTCCTTTCCGCCGCGGTTTTCTTATTTATTCCTCTTCTCCGTAACGCGTACGTCAGCTCGGCGTTCGCGTAGAAAAGAGAGACGATGAGTAGGGAATATGGAGACCGACGTAACCGAAGGGAGAAAGGGCCAAGCCACATAAATTTTGCCCCTTCCATGGACGGAGGAAAGTACACTCGCGTTCCTCGATGACGACTTCGTACTTCCTTCACGGATATCCGTTCACCTCTCTATTTCTACTGCACGCCACTTCAAATAGATGCAAAATGAAGAAAGGAGCTTTCGATCCTCGACATCAAAGAACCTGGAAGATGTCAACGCATTAACGTTTTTGCACTCGGGAAGACATCTGTTTGCGAAAAGGAGGACGTTCAATTCCTTTTGGTTCTCGTTCTCGTTTACGTTTGTTTCGTGTCGATCGTAAAGTAATATAGAACGAGGTATTTGCATATTGGCGAAAAATTCTATTTCGAGCGTCGCCTATATATCCGCTGCGTTTTCCTGAATAATGGAAAATTAACGTGCTCGCCGGGAGTCCTAACAACACTTGAGCATCGGTCTCTCGAGTTAAAGATAGCTCTCTTATTATTCTCGTGACGGGTTGTTGTCTTTGCTTACCGGAGAATGGAATTTAGGTGGGTTTGGAACGTAGTTAGGGGCAATTGCTAGGGCATTGCTTCGCTAATTAAGGGTTGTTACAGACGAGCTCGGCCGAGTAGAGGCAACCGACGTACATCTGCATCTCATTAAAGCCCAACCCAGGCGCCAGGTGTAAGGCTCGATGCGAAGTATATTATAGTGGCGTTATTTAGTAGCCTAACCCGTCGAATCGATGCGAGATTACCCGCTCGTTTTACGTTCCAGCGTAACGTAAAATTATCCATGGCTTTCCCTTCGCGACGATTTTATAAGTCGACGTCGCGTTGCTGTTTCCGCGAATCGGAACGCGGGATTCGAATTGAGAAACGGGGTGTCACGTATCCGAAATAAGAGGACCGAATGAAGCAGAAATTTATTAAGAGTTTTATGGGCCCGGAGGGTCGCGACGTAATCAACCACGTTTTAAAAAGACGACCGACCCAAGGTGGCTGCCTAATTTTTCTTCGACTGCTTCCAACCGTTCTTCGACCACAACGAAGACGACCAGAGTTAACGCGCAAGTGGTGAGAATTTGCTCTCGACGTGTTCGCTCTCTTCCGATATAAACGAAGAAAATCTTTATTTTTAAGCTAATGCTCCCAGACGATCAACGAATATTGGACGATATTGTACTGACAATATGTACACGTTGATCCTTTTAGTTGAGAACCTTGAAACATTTATATATAGATATAGCAATGATAGTCTGAGGGCAGCCTAAGATCGTACAACGAATGTTCCACCGGCGGAGAGTAATTTGAAGAAACAACAGTTACAAATAAAATTTATATATCGAGTCTGGTCGTCTCGAGTCGATTGCTGTTATAGTTACCAAAAGCTAATGCACCGTTCGACGTTGTTTACGGACAGAGAGTAACGGGAGCGAACTCGGTGCAGATCAGCAGCAGCAACAGCAGCAACAACCCCATCAACAACAGCAGCAGCAACAGTACGGCGAGGTGAACCAATTAGGGGGTGTGTTCGTAAATGGCCGACCCTTGCCAAATGCGGTCAGGTTGCGAATAGTGGAGCTTGCACAGCTGGGCATCAGGCCGTGCGACATCTCGCGGCAGCTGCGAGTCAGCCATGGTTGTGTCAGCAAGATTTTGGCCCGGTACCACGAGACAGGCAGCATACTGCCTGGCGCGATCGGTGGCAGCAAACCCCGTGTTACCACCCCGAAGGTGGTGCAGTATATCAAACAATTGAAACTGAAGGATCCTGGTATCTTCGCTTGGGAGATCAGGGATCGTTTATTGTCGGATGGCGTGTGCGACAAATACAACGTGCCATCGGTGAGCAGCATCTCGAGGATATTGAGGAACAAGGTCGGCGCAGCGACCGCGATTCATCATCATCCCCATCATCCGGCGCATCATCACCATCATCATCATTTGTACGCGGCCGCGGCCGCGGCTGGAGC